TTAGGTTTGCAAAGTCGGGTCAAATGATACAGTTCCTCTAAAACAGCTGGCTGCTTAGAGGGGATCAGGGTAGCTATTCATCTCTCCCGGGTCCATATGCCAACTGGCTCACTGGTGGGGGCTGAGCTTCCTTCCTGATTCTTTGTGGTCCTCCTGCTGGCTAGCTCAGAGGTGAGAGCATAGCTGCTTTCCTGATTCTCCCCGGCCCATGTTCCAGTTGGCTCACAGGCAGGCATATTTCTTCCATCCTGTTTCTCCTCATTCCGCACTCCAGCTGGCCCACAGGTGGGGGCTGAGCTTCCTTCCTGGTCCTCTCTGGTCTGCACACTGGCCGGCCCACAGGTGGGATATTGCTTCTTTCTTGGTTCTCCCCATTCCACATGCCTATTGAAATGAATCTTAATCAATGATACGTACAGTTATATAACATTAGTAGATTCTCATGACTATTATACAAATTTCATTTTGTCTTGATTACTGTAGTTTCTTGGTAAGAGTTTAAATCAGGTAATGTGAGTTTTCCAATTTTGTTATTTTCAGGATTTTTATGTCAAGACTTGTTATTTGTATGAGCAGTTATTTTGAAGATAACAAAAGGCATTATGGTAGCCATTGTTGATTTCCTATTATGTTGCATGATCTCACTCATGTGTGGAATCTAAAACAACTGGACTCATAGAAACAGAGAGAAGAATACAGCAACCAGACGCTGGAGATGGGTGGATAAAGGAAACTGGGAAATATTGGTCAAAGGGAACAAAGTTTCAGTAAGACAGGAGGAATGTTATTTGAGATGTACTGCATACCATAGTGATAGTTAATAAGAATGAGTTATATACTTAAAATTGTTGATAGTTATATTTTAAATATTCTTACTACAAAATAAATATTTTAGTGATAGAGATGTTAATTTTCTTGACTCTGTCATTCCTTATTTTCCCTGCATAACATCATATTCCCCCATAAATATATGTAATGATATGTAATGGGAAAAGGTGTCAACTATCTTTTCAAAGTGGTTGCATCAGACAATATCCCACCAGCCATACACATGAGAGCGCATAGATCTATATCCTTGCCAGCATTTGGCATTGTAGGATACTTTACTTTTATATTCAGGAAAAGACAGTGCACCTAAAAACAAGCAAGTAACAGCAAAAACAAAAACATCTTGTCCTCCTTTCCTCTAAATTCTGGGAAAGATTTGGAGGACAGGAGGCAATACTGGTTGAAACTAATAGTGTTTCAAAATTTTTCAGTTCTGGAAAGCCTCTCCCAGCAATGGAGTGGGAACTGTGGGGGCGTGAGAAGGCAGGAAAGCTGCAGATTTGTGCCATGGGGACTTTCCACAGACGGTAAGATTATGCTACAGGTCTGAATTAGAAATCTCTCTCTCTCTCTCTCTCTCTCTCTCTCTCTCTCCCTCTCTCTCTCTCTCCCTCCCTCTCTCTCTCTCTCTCTGTATCTCTGTCTCTGTCTCTGTTTCTCTCTCTCTCCCCAGTCATACCCTCCTCCTTCCTCTTCCCAGTACAAACACTGGTCCATCGAGACTCTCTGCAATATGTGCGCATATTAGCATACTTTGCAAACTCCTTTGCAAGTATCTGAGAACTGGTCTAGTTACAGTGTCTGGTCCCCCACGCCCTGAACTCCAAGGTAAGAACCTGCTGGTTACACTAAGGAGTGAGGGATACTCTGCACAAGCACTGAAAGAGGAAAGAAAGAAAAAAAGAAAGAGCATTATAAGAAGGGAAGGTACCTCATGTGCCTGTCTTTTGAAAACTGAGTCCTAGTTTTATCACTGTACAGTAGCCTGGGGCATGCTATGAAGTACTAGATGGACCATGATGGTGTGTGGTTTTGCCTATACACTCTGTCTGGTAGGCATGGTAGGCAGATCCCTTAAAAATGTACAGAAAGACAACAAAGATGATTGTCTTGAGGGTCAGATTGAGTGACAGCTCACCCTGGATTTATCATTCAGCCTAAAGGGGGACCTGAAAAGCTGAGCTCCAAGACAATTCCACAGTGCAAACCAGCCTGCCATGGGCTGGTGGTCTCCACAGGAAGCTTAACAGAATTCTCTCAAAGTTCTGGAGAAAATGGGAGATCTGGGAGACAGAGAGTATTGTACCTTGTTTTTGATAGACATAGAGTAGTTTGAGAATTGTCTATTTGACATATTTGATTTTCAAATTAAATATCATTTGAAGAAAAAAATCTCCTTTTAAGAAAATATGAAAAGCACCAACAAGACTTTGGACAAAGAAAGGGATACAGAGAAATAGATCTGCAACACAATTGGCATGGGAGATCAGCATAGAATGAGGTTAGGTGTTATCAAGAGCCAAGCCCACATACTCTCAAACAAAAAGCGAGAAATAAGGTGACTTAAAAAATTAAGTCATCTCAACCACTCAGAGGGCTGAGGCAGCAAGATGGCAAGATGAGAAGCTGAGGTACTTTGGACAACTTAGCGAGACCCTATATCAAAATAAAAATGCAGAGTTAGGGATGTAGCTTAGTGTGAAGCCCTGAGTTCAGTACTCAGTAACACGCATGCGCCCACATGGAGAGGAGGGGGAGAGAGAGAGGAGAGACAGACGGGGGGGGGGGGGAGGTGCGAAATCCAAAATTCTTGCTGCATTATGATGTGAGGAGTCATGGAAATGCTATGGTGAGGATATGATTTAATTGTACCCCTGACAAAGTCCATGTTTCCAGAGGCTCTGGGGCTTGGTCTGGTCTGTACTGAGTCAGAATCCAGAGGTGCTTGGATCTTAGGAGGTGGGATGAGTGGGAGCACCTTATATCCCTGGGGGCGTGCCCTCAAAATCCCTGGAGATATTGCTCCTGGGCGCTCAAGGCAGTGCTCTGAGAGGGCTGTTGCAATAGGACTCAGCGCGGCCCTTCCTGCGCTCTTGGCTTCCTGGGTCCAGATGCCATCTTGTTCTGGGATACACTCATGCCGTTGAAAAGGGCGAAAAGGGACAAGAGCAAAAGACACGGCGAGGTCCTCACCACAGAGCTGGTATTCTGTCATTGGATTTTGAACACCTAGACTGTGAGCTAAATAAACCTCTTGTTATTATAATATTAACCTATTTCAGGTATTTTGGTATAAGAGTGAAAAGTTACCCACTACAGGCATGCCAATCTTGTTTACCACTGTGCACAGTTCCAGGCACACAGTGAATATTTTAAAACATCTGTTAGAGAAATAAAGAAAAAGGAGGCATATCTCATGGGCAGGACTGAGGGTCCCTCTTCAAAATTGTTTTGAGACTTTTCCCAAAACATAGTCCAGCTCCTTACACAAATGAAATTCTCAAAAAAAATTTTTTGGGGGGCTGGGGATTTAGCTCAGTGGCATAAGTGCCTGCCTTGTAAGCAGGCAGTCGTGAGTTCGATCCCTGGTACCGATAAAAACGAAAAAGACAAAAAAAAATTTTTTTTTTACCAGAGAGAACAATGAAGAAAAATTTAGAATAAGAGGTAGCAAACATTTACCTCATCTACAGGAAAAAGCAGGCAACACACCTATCATATATCTATTGAAGAGTACAGCCTCCCTTGAATCCTTCAGCAGAAACCACTTGTGAAATGAACCTCTATGAATAGAATCCACTAACCTGCTGATTATAGTTGTAAACACATAACTTTCACCCTTAGGAACATAGTCCAGGAATGACTTTGGCTTAGTGAATTGATCCTAAGCCACTGCTCCTGAAATTCAAGGGGTAGGAGTTTCACTCTTGGTGCCTGACTATCACTTAAGGTCATGGTCATCCAGAGCAGAATATGCTTCTATTTGTTCTCACAGCAAGTTGGGCTGGGTAAATGGTGGTGCAGATGTCCTTTGCAAAGAAGGCTGCAATACGAAATCATTAGTATAGATTTGAAACAAAGGACAAAGCATCTTCATTTGGGACTACTCTGGCAAAAAATTGTGTATATGTTCAAAAAAGTTATTATTAACTGACCCCAACTCAGAAGGCACTATAAAGGCTTGTTTGCTATAAGGACCAGTTATTGATGGGGCTTTTGTTTTGAGTTTAAGCAGTTAAATCCAAAGTGAATGTTGGAGAAAGCTCAGCATAGTATCAATAAGTGATCTTGCCTATTGTGCATAATAAGGACTTCCAGAATACATAGATAAATGGGGCAAGGACCTCCTATTGGAGGTCTCAGACAGAGTAGCCCTGGGAACCTCACACTGGCACTTATCATGGAGAAAGTAAGCATAATTGATTGGGAAATAATTTTCAGGAAGCAGAATACACTTGTTGTATTTTCCAGTGGGTTCAAATAGGTAAGCAAATTGCACTCAGCCCTGCCAGTCAGACCTTGAGCAAACCTTGAATAGATTTCTGGGGAAGAAGAAGTCTTCATTAGGTTATTATATTTTTTTAGGTTTTAAACTAACCCTTGTAAAAAAAAATGACCAGAATTCAATCAGAGAGGAACATGTCATCTACAGATTTTAAGACAATTGTACTGAACTTTAACAACTTAAGAGAAAGATGTCAGCTCAAATTTGAAGGTCTGTGTTCACATTCAGCCAAATCTGTGCCTGATTATGTTCCCAAACCTGACCTCATTCATGGTTGTAATGCCAAACTCTGGACCCCTCCAAAAGGATTTGGGTCTTTTGGATAGAATAAGAAGTTCTTGTAAGATTTGAAGCTGATAAATCTTAAAATGACCTCCAGTAATCTATCGATTTATGGCCTCCACAGTTTGGCCAAACTTTTTGTTATTATTTCCTTTGCCTTAACAAACCAAGAGCACATGTGTATTGCTTCTATCACCCAAACAAGAAACAGATAGACGGGTGCATTTGTTTCACATATATTTATGATTTTTGAGTCACTGCCAGTGACTCTTCTAAGTCTCTGAAAGCAATGGGGAATAAAGTAAAATTCCAGCCACCAAGGAGCTTTCCTTCTAATTTTAATCAACAATTCACCAAGCGAGATTAGAGCAAAACAGAATATCTCTTTTGGACCAGGGAGGGTAATTTAAAAGACTTCAGCAAGAACCTATCCAAACTAGATAATGTCTTTATCTCTCATCTCAACCAGTCAATGCCACTAGTCTGATTGTGGATACAAATTGGCACAGCTGTAACACAGTTAAGGTGAAAGGGATCTTATCTATCTGAACCTGGATCTTCATTTCAGAAAGAGATAAATTCATTAAAATATAATGCTGACACCAATGTAGTGATAAAATTTCCTCCATAAAGTTTCACATTTTGAGTTTCTGTTTAATATCAATAGATTTTCTATGAAGAACTTTAGCTTTAGAAGTTGTAAATAAGCAAGACATTTCCCAAGGCGCATCTCATGTTAAAGTCTTATGAACACCAATATGTACTGATGGGCAGATAGATGAAAAGCCTGTATCAGAGCAACAGCTTGAAATAAATCAGCAGGCAATTGTATTTTAGAGAAATTTCCAGCCAGAGTTAGTATCTAACCATGCAAGTGGAAAAGAAAGGTTTTATAAGCTAAGCCTGAGGAAACGTTCACTGGTTTTTTACAGTAGAAGTTTGTTTGTGACATAGTAAAGAACAGTTGTAAACCACAAGGTAAAGGGGTAGCCTGGGTGCTCAGAGGGAGGAGGAAATGCTGCGAGGTTGCAAGGGTCTGCTCAACCAAGGATGGTGACCACACTCACTTCCTGATTGGTCTCCTTGCCTCTGCTCTGTCTTGTATACCACTCATCTGAGAATACACATGCCTAGGCTCAAAACTGATGGCACAGTAAATATCAAGCTCACTAGCATTCAAGGATCATCCTAGCCCAAATCTAGGCTGCCATTATTTGCATAGTTTCTAACCTTTGCCACTGGGTTGCTCCCTAACAGCTCTGTCCCTTAAAGGTATATAGTATCCCTTACTTGCAGTGTTGCATTGCCTTTTCTCCTCTCATTGTGACATGACCCTCAACTCCTATGGCTGAAGGAATGGAAAAGTGAGAGATGGAATGAACACAGCATGCCAACACTCATTGTCTTGGTAAGGGTGGGTTTCTGAGACCCCCAACTAGAAACAGCTGATCACCTATAATTCCTCTCTATGAAACATCTCAGCAAGTTGAAAGATAACTATTTCTTTGTAAGAGATCATCTACATAAGCATTTTCTATGAAAGAATAGTCTCTTCTTGCCGAGAGCTTATCAAAGGGTTTTGTTTTGGAGGCTTGATGTTTCTCATTACATCTGGACAAGTTCAAGTGACACGAGCATTTCCGACTGCCATAGGATTCTGTGCAGCGACCCGGCAGGTGTGTTGAGAAGGGCTTCTGTTTAGCATGATACTAAAAATGCAGGCCCAGTCCCCATCACAACTGTGACTTGTGCCTGGAATCTCCAGATCCATGGGGACAATAATAGACCTTGCTTTGTGATTCCTCTGGCGGCCCATTTATTTTAGCTCTGGCGGAGCTAGTGACTTGCCCTACTAATTCACTATGACGTTGTTTTCTAATTAGGTGTCTCAAAACAGCAGGTATTCGCGTCTTAAACTCCCCCGCCGCTTTCCTTCTCGTTAATATGGCAGTGAGCTGCCAGCCTTTTAGCTGCTGATCTTTCTGAAATGCTTCCTGCCGTGTAAAATGAGGTGACATACTGCAGGGCGCCTGGGAGGTCCTTGAGATGTTCATTGTTTTCCTGTTCCATTTTTCTTTTTTCTTACCTTCCGGGTCTTCCCTTAAACCTAGAGATAAAATATTACCTTTGCAAGGGTTGCATTTTTCTTCATTCCATAAAAGCCCAGTGATTCTATAAACTACATGGATTTAACATCTCATTTCCAGTTAACCTCATGAGGCAAACATTTTTATTATCCCTACTTTTTAGGGCAATAAGCCTCAGCTAAGAAGTTCAGTAGCTGAGGTTACAGATTGGGTAAAGTTCTCTGCAAAAACTTACCTTCTTTTTAACTATCACCCAAGCTGGCCTTCCACTCCCGCCCCCTAAGCAGACCCCCTCCGCGAACTAAGGTAAGCAGAACACACAGGGGAAGCCACAGCCCTGACAGAAAGGGAGTCCTTCTGGCAGGACAGAAATGTCACTGATCCCAAGGTGTAAGCCCCAGTACTCCGTAAGCGAGATTCCGGCGCAGAGCCTGGCTTTGAGCCCAGCTGGAAGGCGGGGGAAGAACGTCAGCAGCAGAGGCTCAGCACCTCGGGGTGCTCCTCCCTCAGCCTCGCCACCAGGCGGCGAACAGCAGGAGCTCCTGCTGCCCCCGCCGTCGGTGTTCAGGGAGCCCACTGCCTCACCTTCCCGGCTGCCTGTTCGCCCTTCAGTCGTGGGCACGCGAGCATAGGACGAGCTAACGGGCAGGGCAGCTCCAAATACTGAAGAGGTTGGCGCTGCCCGTCGCCCAGCGCCCAGCGGAGGGTCACGTTCCCAGCTTTCGTGCTCACATTTTCTGGAGCCTGGGCGTGGCCACCCCCGAGGGGCGCCGCTGAAACCCAGCTGCCCGGGGTGTTCAGTCACTAGGCTTAGGATGAGCGAAGAGGCCTTGGAGGGACAAGGAGAGCCCGCCGTGCAGCCCCGAGCCAGGCAGAAACAAGGCCGACCCCCCGCCCTCCGCCCGCGAGGAGACCGCCGGACAGGAGGGGGGCGGGGGGGGGAGGAGCCGGCCCCCTGCTCCCCAGCAAACACCCTTCGCTGGAGAACAGAAACGCCCCCCGCCCGCCCACTGCTGGGGGCGCTGTGCTCCCACTGAAGGCGGGTTCAGGACATGGCAGGGAACCCTAGCCAGCAGCGTTGGTGGAAAAAGGAAGCAATTGTGCAGACTGAAGCCAGGGAGGGTTGTGTTCAAGCCTCAGCTCTGCCTCGGGCGGTAGTGAATCCTTAGTCTTGTGCTAAGGTTTTGTTCATCACTGCATCACTGAATGCTCCTAACAGCCTTTTAAGGAAGATGGTCTGTTCATCCTTATTTGATCAGAAATAGCAACTAATTCAACTCATTGTCTGTGGACACAGACCGGAGAGTGGCAGTGTTCAGCTTAGAACTTAATTATGTCGAAGGAAAGTCCACATTCTTAACCATTAGAACTCCCAACAGCAGGAGGCTTGGAGGGGACAAAAGAGAAGCCCCAGTACTGTCCTCGTAATGAGCCCCATTAATCCCTAAATGGGATTAATAATAAGCCTTTCGCAGGGCTTTTGAGAAGACTGGAGATCAAGCAGAAGGCACACAGGAGAAGACAGTCTGCAGCCCCTCTGCGGGCTCACGGTGATGTGGGTTAGGATCCGTGCAGCTGGGATGCTCCACGGGGATGTGGGTTAGGATCCGTGCAGCTGGGATGCTCCACGGGGATGTGGGTTAGGATCCGTGCAGCTGGGATGCTCCACGGGGATGTGGGTTAGGATCCGTGCAGCTGGGATGCTCGGTCATCTCCGCGGACAGCAGAGCCTTGCTTGCTGCTGTTCCTTTCACACTGAATCTCTTTCAGAAACTTTATGTCACATCAAAATGAGCTGTTTGTTGCGTCTGAATGGTGAGGGCATAGGTTTTGTTTTCAATTTTGTATTTTCCAAATAAAAAAGAATATGTGTTCTATTTTCTCATTATAGCTGCAGTACACATTGATGTGTTAACCATGGGAGACAGAGAAGCTATAAAAAGGAAGTGAGAGAAACCATACTTCCCACTCTTCAGAGAGTGAACACACTAATGTAGTTACCGTTTTAGACAATTGATATTACAAGTTTTACTGCATCCCACTTTTAAAATGCAATATATTCCCCCTCTACAAATGCCCAGCCCTTTACATAAAATGGTGTAATATTTGCATTAAGCTTACATAAATCCTCCTGTAATAATAAATATTTAAATAATAGATTATTTATGCTATGTATAGGTAAATGGTATGTAAACAGTTACATAATACTGTATAGTGAATAATGACAAGAAAAGTCTGCTCTTTTTCATGTTCAGTTCATATTTTTAACCACCTATGGTAGGTTAAATCTGTGGATGTGAGACCCAAGGATATATGTTTTACACATCAAATAGTCTTAAAATATAGAGGAATTAATGGCTGCTTTCCCATTTCCTTTGCAAAAGTGCTTATTATGCTTATGGTATTATGCTTATTGAATTTCTATTTACAAGAACTTCATCGTGTTGTACTGCTTTGCCCAACAGGTACAGTGCCTCATGTGTTCTGTGTGGCGCAGGGCAGTGTGTAGGTGAAAACCCTCTAGAGTAACTGTGACATGTGAAATGGGCAGAGGGGTCGTTGGTTTTGTGCAGATTAAATGGGATCAGACACGTGATGTCTCGAGATCAGGGAGGCCCAAGAGAGAGCTCAGTCAGTAGTGACAGTGTGTCTGTAATGACAGTGTGAAGACAACAGATACATTGGTGGAGGAAGGTGAACTAGAGAACTGGGAGACATCTCTGCCAATGGTGTGTGGGAGCCAGAGTGTACAGGACCTCAGAAGGTGATTGTTAAACGTGCAAGAACTTTGCAAGCTTATTGGGAAAATTGTGAAATCTTACTGGTAGCTTGAAATCTATCTTGGTGAGACACCTCAGAAGTTTGCACCTCAGGAATTGGAAATCAGCGTGTGCTACCAATAGGGTTATATATTTACTTACTTCAAAGAACACTGACCAGAGCACCACTGGTAGGCTTAATCCAAAGACAGGATTTGCTGCTTCTCAGAGTAGTAAAATTCTGCAGGAAATGGTTCTGAGGGCTGGTACAGCATTAGTAGATTTTGTTGAATTGGCATGTGAATAAACATAAGCTAAACACTTGGTTTGCTTGCTTTTGTTCTAACTAGAAGGATGAATGGGGAAATAATTGGATTATAGAATGAAATGATAGGTGATGGGGAAACTTGTCTCCTGCAGTGACAAAGAGTGATTAGCATGCATAACTAGGAAATTCAGGCCTGGAGAATCACCCTGGGCTAAGGGAAAGTTGCAGGAAAGAGCTGGAGAAAAGATGTACACTGATGCCTCTCTTCCACTGTGCCCTAAGGAGCCAGGTGGTGAAGACCAGAGTGATAGGAACTGTGTTCTAGAAGGCTCCACGATCACAAAGCTTGCCTTATTCATCTGACTACATCAGTTATTTCAGAGAGGCCCTTGCCTCCATTGTACTCAGAGTCAGGCTATGGCCTCCTCTCCTCTTCTCTATGGGTGAGCACACTACTGCCCCGGGTCCTTCACCCCTTTAATCTGGACTCTGCAAAGACAGATGCTAGGACACAGTTGCACTTTGCAGTGTGTGTGGGTAAACACCTGCAAAGATAAGGGAAAGAAGAGGATATGGTCCTGGAAGAGCTGTAACCGTGCTCCAACAAACACTCTGCCACAGAGAATCATAGGCAACAGTATACTTCCATATGCCTTTTGTTACCTGAGCCAGCATTTTATAAGCTGCAATACTCAGTTTCCATAGAAGAGTTGCCCAAGAAGGGAATGACCTGGCAAGGTGATTTCTACAGCCAAAGCAGATCCCAGAGGAGTCCACAGCTGGGCTACCTGCGTGCCAAAAGCGGGTTCCCTTGTGGGATGTCACTGTAAAGACTCGGCTTCCTTCCTCATCCCCAATGAGAGCCGCCTCAGTTCTCCTCAGCATTGCTGCTCTTACAAGGAAGTTTCTGAAGGGGTGGGGACATTACAAGGGAATTAGAACATAGGAGAGGACCTGTTATAACATATGCAAGAATACAGCCACTCTCGGAGCACACAGTTTCAGGTGTGCCTGTCCTAGGGGTTGTCACAGAGGCCTCATGGCCTGGCTCTGCTAGTCCCTAAAGAAGGCCTTCATATCCAGACTTAACTGCCCACAATGAGGAGGTAAGAGAATCTGCTTTGCCTTGGCCTAGAGCATGGTCAGACTTCTTATACTTCACGTCTTTTCCCAGGAGCTCCCTTCCCAGCATATTCCAAGTGGAACGACAAATCTTCCTGCCGGTGTTGGCTCATATCCACAGGGTGAGCCTGGGGAAAAAGTCCACCTTACTTTGGCTGGTTTACCAACACATTTTAGATTGTTTATTCTTAAAGTATTTTGTCCTAGCTGCCTCAGGCTCATTGATTTTTAAAAAAATGTATCATAATTTGGTCTGATGGTACTACTTCCCAGCTCTCTAGGTCCTCAAACAATGCTTTTAAAGTTCTCTTCAAGGTGCACTGCAAATTCGTCCAGAAAAGGGATGAATATCTCTTATTTTTCTTGTTCATTTCCCTAGCATCATAAAATAAACACAAAGGACACCAGAGAGAAGGAAACATAACTAGGTCTATAGAAACCTGAGCTCAGACACACGCAGACATACATTTACATCACCCTGCAAATACTTTGCTTCCCAGGCCAAAATGTTTCCTTTTGGAAAAGAGAAGATTTCATGATCTTTTAAAAATAAACTATGAAAACAAATTGCTTATTCATGTTGTTTCAGAAACAAAAGGATGGCCTACCAGACATGACTATGAATGACCATCTTTTCAGAAAAAAGGGGCTTGCAGTTTTAAATTCATTATTATCCCCAGATTTTATGTAATAAATTAAAGTACAAGGAGTAAATTCTAGCCACAGAAGACCATAGGAAATAGAAATAGTGTTTGAAATAATAATCCCCCTCAAATACCCAGTGAATAAACTGAGATAACTTGTGTGAGAAAGTTTTAAAAGTTTAAGATGGAAAAAAAGAACTATAACTCAATCACCCTAATACATATTTTTGCAAAAGTGAAAATGCAAAATGTATCATTAGGAGAAATATTTTCAGCCAGGCAGGATTGCACGCGACCCTGTCTCAAAATAAAAATAAAAAAGGCTGAGGATGTAGCTCAGTGTGACCGCTATGGGTTCAACTCTAAGTGGCTTCCAAAAAAAAAAAAAAAAGAAAAGAAAAAAGAAAGAAAATGACCAAGGAGGGCTTATTCTAGGGATGCTAAAATGGTTTAATATTAATGTATTTCATTAATACATTAAGGGGCACATTGTTAGTTAAAAAATAGGTAAATATAAATAGAAGGGAAGCATGTAAATGTGACAAAGATTAAAAAATATCATAAATGTTAAAGTAGTAATATTGCTTTCATTAAAATCAGGAATGGACGAGACCTGCTCATAATCATTATTGTAATTCAACATTATCTTGAAACTGTAGTAAATACAAGCAAATAATACATTTTGCATAAATATTGGAAAAGAAAAGGGGATGCATATTAAATTTGGTGATATAATTTTATACCTAGAAAATCCAAGAAATATAGAACTAGTAAGAATATAGTAAGAACTAGTAAGAATATAGAACTAGTAAGACTTTCAGAATATATAGACAAAAACGACACAGGAGCCAGGTGGAGTAAACTATAATGATTTTTTTGTCTGTTTTTTGGAGACTGGGTCTTGCTTTGTAGTCCAGGCTGTTCTTGAACTCACTGACTAGTCCAGGCTGGCCTTGAACTGATGGTGATCCTGCCATCTCAGCTTCCTGAGTGCTGGTATTAAAGACATGTGCTGCCATGCTAGGAAAAACTAATATTTTATCAAATGATCTCAGGCAAGTTCAGAAAAACTATCAAAATATACAGCATGGAAGAGAAAATATCACACTATAAAAATACAATTTCCTTAGTAACATGTATAATTAATCGATTCTAATTAGAATCTAATGGAGCTATTTAATTGGTTCCATAATGTTAAGATTTATATAGCCAATCATAGCTATAAAATTATGAGCAAGTGTAATGAAAGAGGACAGTCCTACCAGAAAATCTGCTGATTGTGTAGTATAAAAACCAATAGGATTCCTGAAATAACACAAAGAGCTCTGAGATAGATCTCATTACACATAGTACTATAATATTCTATATGGGAAAGATAATAATCCAGTAAAGAAAAAACAATTGATATATTGTACCAAACAAGACCAGCACTGTGTGCAGCCTACCTAGGATCCCTACCTCATGTCATACTGAAAAATAAAATTCTGCTTAAAACCTCAAAACAATGAAAAGAAATTTAAGCATGTGACCTGTATGTTGGGGAGAATGTTTCTGTTGGTACAGAAGTGTACACACACATGTGTAATTTACACACACACATAATTTGTACAGATACATACTGTACACAAAATTTTAAAGCTTTCACGCCATAAAAAAATACCATAAGATCAAGAGACAAGTAATAAGTTCAGAAGAAAATATTTACAACCAATTTTGTAGGTAAAAAATTTATTGTCTAGCTACATGTGAAAAAGCTCTTCAAATATGAAGTCAAATAGAAAAATGAGCAAAATATACAAAGCAGCAATGTCTACAAAGCATTCCCAAGTGTCAGCGAATATGTGCAGCTGTTGGGCACCCTGCTGCAGTGACTGGAGTAGTTGAGCTGCAGTAGAGACAGATTGCCTGGCAGTGTGTCCTTGGAGAAGTTACTGCACATTCCTGTACCTGAGATTCATCATCTTACAAAGCTAGTATTTGTCTCACTGGATTATTGTAAGAACTTAAAACCTAGTGTATGTGAAGTGCTCCAAGTAGAGGCTCAGTACCCAGGAAGCCCCGCACAAGGCATACATAGCATTTCGTCAGGCCACTATTACGTTATGAATCAGAGAAATGCAAATTAGAGTTAATAGTGCTGTGAAGTTAATAGTGCTCCTCACCCATCCGACTGCCAAACATTAAAAGAACGATTCCACTGCTGTTGGAGTGGAAGCTCAGAATGTCAGTTGTTTTGGAGTGTGTTCTGGCAGCATCTCTTAGCATTATAAATCTGTACACCCTTTGACTCTTGGAATTCTGTCCACCTATATAAGGATATTCTCTGCAGGACTACAAACAACAGAAAACATAAACTTGAATTTATGGTAAAGGGAGTGATCACAATTATTGCAGATTCTAGACTTTATATTATGCCATTTTTAAAAATGGTCATTGATTTGGGGAGATTTCCATAAGGTGTATCTGAGTGAGAAAGGCAAACTTTAGAGAACGGGGGGTATGTCTGTAAAACATGTACTTTGTATATCATTATATGGCCAAGGAATGCAAGAAAGACTACATGAGGCTATTGATTGTCTACTTTTATTATGTTCTGATTTTATAGACCTGTCACCTATCATCTATCTATCTATCTATCTATCTATCTATCTATCATCTATCTATATCATGCATCTATCTATTATCTATCTACCTATTTATCATATCTATCTATCTATCCATCTTTCATCTATCATCTACCTCTCTATCTGGAAGTATAAGGAAATAGATCAAAATCCTAGAGTTCATCTTTCATACATTGATTTATTCATTTTTCTTAGTAAGTGGGGTGAATATTGTTGTTTGTCATGTATTTCTGTATCTGTTAAGGAAATACAGTAAAGCTAGTTTAAGTTTGAGGAAAACCCCAACAAAATTACACACTGAGTGCTTAGGATTCCAGTAGCGCTCTGGACCTACATTGAGCAGACGCGAAGCAGAGAGAACCGCTGTCACTTAATTAGCTGTGTGAATTTGAGCAAGTTATTTCAATTCTCTGGGCTCCAATTCCTCCCATAAAACAGAAGCTAAGTGGATAATCTCTCAGATTCTTTTCTGCTCCAGAATTTGAAACTCCTATATTGTTACTCATGAGAAAGTCAGAATGATGTACTAGAGAGAGGGCACAGGCTCTAAAATCAGGCAACGCAGAGGCTAAATTCCAAATGTGTTATTACTGCACATTCTTGGGTTACAGAACTAAACTGTAGTGGATTTCTTTGCTTGAGAAATGGAGTAATAAGAGTTACAGCACAGGACTGTAAAGACTGATTGGAAAACAAACACAAACTACAGAGCACACATATATATACATATATGTAAAAATGTATATATATATATTTGTATATTCTAAATGTACATAGCATATAAATATATATTCATATTCATAGTACATACATTTTATATTATTTTAATTGTGCATTACATAACATTTAATGAATAATACTTATATACATAGTAATAAATATACGTATATATGTTGTATACATATACAGCAGTACCTCAATTCATGAACTCAATTTTTTCCATAATTCTGGCTACAAACTGAACTGGATGAGAACTGAATCAAATTTCTTCATAAAGTCAGTATTGATACTAACCACTGAATTTGATTCAGTTCTTGTCTAACTCAGTTTGAGATTAGGATTGTGGAAAGAATCAAGTTCATAAATTGAGATATATTGTATATGTAAGTGTATACACATATAAATACAGCACATTTTGATTTAATGGTAATTTATTTAAATGCTTTTAATAAATAAATTAAAATAATTGACCTCATAGAATTTTCAAAGGGCTTCTTTGTCATTTTAAGCTAAAATAGAGTTTAAAAGTAGGACACGAGCAAAAACAAAACAAAAACTACATGAGTTTGTAGTCTTAAATGCTTAGGAAGCTGAGTCAGGAAGATTACTTCAGCCCAGGAGTTCAGAACTTGTTTGGATAGTATAGCAAGACCCTATCTCAAAAAAATCAATCATATAAAAAATAGGCCATGAAATTCATTGGGGTGATTTAAGCAAGACATGAAATAGCATAATAATGTAATAATTATGTAATAATTGAAGCTGGAAATTGATC